TTTTTGCGGCTTTGAATGCTATTCGTTAGTTTTTGATTGTGTTTCGGAAATTTAGGTATGAATCAAATAAGTCAACTATCAATTGCATTTTTAGGAGTTGTAGTTTTAATAGTAGTAATAAAAAAAAAATTAGTCTAGAAATAGCTGTGAAAAAATATGCTAAAATTCTCTACCGGTACGCAACGTTTTCTGCGAAAGATGCACTTGTACACTCGTGGCGCGTGCTTTCGACGAAACTGTTTACGTTTCTTGTGCTAAAATAAATGTTGAATGTGCATTTTGCGCTAACAGTACTATAATCCCTCGCGTACTGCTCAAATGCGGATATTCATGTAGTATGTTACAAAAAAAATTAAAGTTCATCCGATTCAAATAAAAACTGCGCCAGTGGATAGATCTGAGTGAAAATAGAAAACAGTACCAAGTTTATAAAAAAACGGTCAAGAAATAACCGAGATATCGGAATTTTAGTACCGCCCGACAGGGCAATTATTTTCATAAGGATTGTATTACTTTTTTGATAAGAACTGTAATAAATATGAAAAAATTACACATGTCAATCACTAATATTGAGACTATTTCTGGATTTTATTCTGGCAACGGTCATTGACACCGCCGAAAGATCGTCGCAAATTAACGCTGGAGTTGTGCATGATAGTTTAATTTGCACTACGTATAAAAGGGGGGAGGCGGAATTTTTTAAAGCGTCGAAAGCTGAGAAATGTATGCGCCAATGAAAAAAATCAAATACCAGATATGTTGTTTATTTTATCTAAATTATGTCAAAATTTCATGGAATTTCAAGCTATAGCAGGCAGTCCAGCAGTAGCAGTATTCCAACACGACGTAACAGTACTTAGCAGACGTGAAGCGTACATTATTTTGGCGCGAAATAGCCGATTTTGTAACATTCCTAATTCATGACAGCAACGCTTTGATAACAGCTAAACTCAGGATAGTTATCTAGATATAGAAATCTTGTATATTTGTTTTCCTAGGATGTTTTTGATCTATATTCTGCGATATAGATAGAATTAAATATTCAAGTCTTCAGAAATGTAGAATATATATTGTTAAATAAATTGGATGAATTTTCCAACTTTTGTGAATTTATTTTATTGCATTGACAAAAATATTCATCCGGCCCGTTTCAACCCAGTTTGAGTCATACCCGGCCCGCGGTCAAAAAAGTTTGGTGACCCCTGGCTTAGATTGGCCCACTGTGATTATTGAAATGTCTGTCAATTTACTCAGATTTATCATATCATGCTTGTGCTTTATTTATTATTGATAGGAATATGCCTGGTGGCAATCATATGCTTTATATTGTGTTTTGATGGGTAACTTTAAACTTTATATATATACTTATTTTGACAAACATTTTGTCACAAACCTGAATTCATCCCAGCAGAGTGCTGAAAAGCCCAAAAGATGGCTTAATCACATGGCGCACCACAGGCTCTCGCAAGGTTATCGGTCCATGTCGGCTATAGGATTAGTCGAGAATCTATCCTAAGATATTTATCCCGAGGGGAGGGAAAGTTATAAGACGGCCTAATCATATGACATGCCACAGCCTCTTGTCCGGTTACTAGTCCATGTTGGATATGGATTATTTATCCAGTTACCCTAACATGTTTTTATTCATTTCATTTATATTGTTTTTCTATGCACAGAACATTTCCTTTTTTTCTTATTTCTTCAAATTTATGCTTATTTACTTGGATCTTGTAATCATATGCTTTTATGATGGGTCTTGATGAGTAACTAAAAACTTCAAATACCGAGGAGGAGGGAGGAAAGGCGATAAGACTGCGTAATCATAAGGTGACCACAGCATCTTATGTGGTTACTAGTCTATGTCGGGTATAGGATTAATCAAGAATCTACATATTTATCCCAGAAAAGTAACTCGATCAGACGGCCTAATCATATGACGAACCATCTACTCTCGTCCAGTTACCACTCTATGACGGATATTTGTTACCTTTATGATTTTCATATTTTTTTTTTCTATGTACAGTTCATTTCATTTGTTCATGTTGTTCTTATTTTATTTTTTAAATAAAGTAGGGGAAAGTGGGGACACTCTTTTTCTTTTGCATAATTTGAGCCGTTTATTCTGCATATTCACTTAAGTTTGCGGGACTAATGCATAAATGGGTAAATGTAATTTTTATTCAGCGACTAAGAAATTTCCTTGCGACACACATCTTACCACCAAAATGCGTTAAAAAACGTTTGTCAAGTGTCCCACTAAACCCACTTGTGGGGCACATTCGGACAGACCCTGGGCACAATGGGTCAGTCTGTCAAAATTCAACGAAGTATGCCCTTAAAAATAAGCAATTAATCAGCATAATCGTCTAAAGAACAGGGAGACTTCAAATTTGAAGATTTAATATTTTTAAAATCAAAGTTTAACTGAAATATTTCAGATATTTTAACAAAAAATTTCGCAAACAAATTTTAGTATTTCCTTTCTCGAATCGAAATCTGGAGATATTATTGATTCTCGAATATATTCCATATTGGGCCATGGGTCGAAAGAAACCATAATATTACACAAAATAAAACGCATCTCTAGGTCTCTAAGCACTTATTGTATCAAACACTGTCGAATTGTGCCCTGTAGGGCATGTTCCACTGAACCCGATTCGAATGCTACGGAAGATGACTATGAGTGTGATGATTGGTGGATTACTTGGCGTCGTAGAGAGTAGTGGTACACGCAATAGCAAAATGGTCTCGGCTTCCCCACACCAGTAAAATTTAAGTAAATGTACTCACGATCACGGACCGGCAAAAATTGAAATGGGTGGATCAGATAATAATAAGATATATTTGCGTAATATTTATAATGCAATGTCTGGGCACTCATTGTGCGCAAAAAAGGCACACAGAAAACATCTCACATAAAAAAATATGTACATGCCAAATCATGTACAAACGCAATTGGCTCTAGTGAGAATATTGCTGCTGGTTCGTTCCCAATATAGGATTGCAAAAGAGGCCTCAAAGAAGTTTCTGCAACACGTCGCTCTGGAGCGGCGTCCGGTCGAGTTTAAATTAAATCTAGTGATGAAAATTTTTTTTCGCATATCTGGTTGGAAAATACGGACAACAGTTTGATTGATCGTAGGTGTCTTAGCATTCACGTTATGTAACAATGAGGTTTCACAGGATACTGAAGTGCTCAAATTGTCGTACAATGTGGCCCGTAGCGAGTCTTGTGAAAATAGGCTAGCAGTTATTTTGATGGAAAGAAAAATTAGGTTCTTTGACGATCATAACGAGATTGCATTTTTGCAAAGAAGTGAAAATTGCGATGCACCACCGACGAACACGTAGCTCGTACCAGGTTCAAAAATCTTGAACAGCTCAAAGGAGAGGAACGTTTGCGAATGTTATATATATATATTGTAAGGAAATAGCGAAAAATATTGAAGAGGGTTGGGTGCGAAGCTAACTTCTGACGAGAAGGTCATTCACCGATCTCGCACCTGGCATCCGCCTAATAACGGCGCCGAAAACCCCAACGAGCCAAATGTTAAAATTTTTATTGACGCGGCATCTACTTGTTGTGGTGTACGTCTAAACCAGGGGTGCACAACCTTCTTCCACTAGACGGCCGCATTATAATTTGTAAAAAGACTACGGCCGCCAAAAGATCAGGGTGTTCTGTGAGGAGGCTATATTTGATTAAAGAATTGGTTTTTATCTATATATCTCACTGGCATGCGTCTAAAGCGTTTATGAATGTGAAAATACAAACTGATTTTTTTAATTTCTATTTTACATTTATATTGCATTTTCCATGCCGACTATGGTGCAATACTGTATAAATAAACTAATTATAAAAAAAAACTCAGCTTGGCGCAAAGTGGTCTTAGGATTGGCAGCGATAATTCTTTATTATTTGCTATTTTACACCCAAATGTGTTGAACGAAATTGTAGGAATATGTATGGTATATTACGCTTATAGTTAAAATTTAGGTACTCTTGAAGTATGCGTACCGTGTTAGAGTTTGGCCATAATTTTATTCCGATTTTGCTTGTTTTAGTTCTATTACGAGCTCGGGGACTATCAGTGTTAGCCAAGTGAATATTTCCTTCTCCACAGATTTCAGTCCCTTCACACAAATTGATGTAAAATAGGCGAACAAAATTAGTTACCGCCATATTGGTGCTCATAACTTCAAGAACGCCCAAATTTAAAACACATTTCCAGTATTTTGAAAAAAAATACGAGAGATTGTTTAAAGAATCGTAAAAATTAACGAAATGAACCAAAGATGCAGATAACAACGAAAAGTCGTCGAATTTGCGTATATATCAAAACTTACTATCATTTTAGGACTGTAATTGAAACTAATAAATATAATCTGATTGTTCTAAACTGATTCTCAGATCAACAAATACACTAAAATATTGATTTCCATTGTCTACATTGGACGAACATGACAGAGACTTCTGTCCAGGAGTAGTATTTCATATTTAGTCCAAATATAGTCATAAACTATCCTCCGACTGGTTTACTGATATATACATTCTATCCGAGTTGTTCGCAGATATTTCACAAACAGCAGTTTTCTTCAATTTTATTAAGTAATATAAAGTTCTATATATCTGAGATATAGTTAGTATTTGCAATTATTATTGAAAACTCATTACACCTATACTTTTACTTATATTTCAAAGTTCCTTTACAACATAAATGAAAAATCATTTCACCTATACTTAACCCAATATTCAAAGTTGCCTCACAACATAAATATTAAACATTATATTTCATAGCATCGTTAAATATTTTATCTTCGTCATGTAAACAAATCCAATTCTGTTGACGCTCGGACGTAAACAAATAGAATACAGCACTGGAATGTTGAGACAATTAATTAATGACTCGAGACAATTAATCAATGATTAGTATTGAAATAAACGGGTTTTCCCATTCCAGTTTGGTATATTACATCAATGTAGTATTCGGCCACGGCTGACAAGTTTGTTTATCTTGAGTGATATTGATATACGTTTACGTCTAAAATGAGATTTAGAGTTAATATAAAAAATTTAGAGTTTTATGTAAATAATAAGAGAATGCAGTCGCTTTTTGCTAACACAATTTTGCATCTTTTTCGCGTAGTTAATAATTGGTGAGTTTGAGTGATAGTCCAATAAAATTTCTGTATACAGCGGTGATTCTTTGCCGTTGCGATCTTTCCAATATACTTTTCTGCAATCGAACTACACCGCGTTGAACGGTTAGAACTAGGTGCACGAGAGGAAGCTAATTCTGTGCAGAAACTTGCATAAAATGATGCTGTAACGTGACATGTGTGGAAATAGCCAGTGTCGTGTTACAATGGTGTTGACGGCAGAGAAGCAGAAGATTATTTCTATTGTATACCTTGGACAGAAGAGAAACTTATAGAAAGCAAAAAATGCTACATTTGAAAGATGATATTGTCATTGACGCAAACATTTCGTTTAAACCTCAAGGTTTTCTTACAACCAAAGGTGTTTCGTGTCCATAAGCAGAAATTCTATCACAGAGAAGTACGTTTTAGCTCTCAACATCTACTGTGAGTTACATATCGTCGCTACACCAGTTAAGCCATTTTATGGGTTGTTAATTCGCCTAAATTGTATTTGTGTGAAGAACAATAGTCTTCTTGTGCAGTCTTGATATTAATAAGCTTTCATTGTAATTAATTACTGCATTGTTTCAAAAAAAAAAACTTTCCTGAAACAACTTCACGAAATCTGTATAATATTTGTTCATTTCAAAGTGAATTATTAGGATCTTATTCATTCTTATTGATTCATATTCATTAAATTTGCTGACATACATACTGTTTAACCTGGTCAAACAGGCGAGAAGATTGTTTAAAATTCTAAATAACAATTCATCAAGTGTAATATCGCAACAATAATCCTGACGTACGGAGTGCAGCTTTTGTGTTACGTTTAAGCTGGTTAAATAGCTCTGAATATTGCCCAAAACTCTAAATAAAAGACGATTACTTATTCGATTTTTAGATGTCTATGGAGCCTATTTAAATATTGTTAGCGTATATTCCCGAACAAAAAGATAGAATGAATTTTTGGTAGTTCCAACGTCATTTAATTAATGTTGCCGTATTCGAATTTTCTGTTCGACTCATTTAGACATAGAACGCTTGTCGAATATTGTGATGAAACGATATGTCAAAAGATTCCTCTGGTTACTTCATGAAGCACCCTATACCTGGGCTACAGTTTTAACCAAAGATCCGTTTATAAAGCTTCTAACTCACTAAGTAATTTACTTTTATTTCGTCATGCAAGAGCTAATCTCAAATATATGGACATGTATCTCAATCATAGGTCTTGACTGGTACGGATAGATCTTCGTTACTTAAGTGAGAGAAAAGTTTGCCAACATAGATGTACAATCATCGTTAAAAATACAGGACGAGCGTGACTGGATAAAGTATGTCGATATTTCAAAAAATTGTTCCACTAATTGAAACAAGTTTTTAAAGTTTACCGTGAAAAATCCGGCCCCACAAGACTCGGAGAAAATTTAAAAAGAATTTAAGTGAAAGCCTTTTTTGGGATTTCAAGCATATTCTAGTACTGGAAATTTGAATACTATCGTTCGATTAATTGCTAGAAAAGGCGATTTGATATGTGAATAAATATTGAAAACACATAAGTAATTATACAATCATCCGAAACAGGCTGTTATTGCCACGGTGTCTGAATATCGGACTCAACAAGGGACTGAGCGGCCGCTAAATTTTCAATCACAATGCGACCGTTGACATCTTGGTGATTAGCTAATGTCACTGAAGTTAACATGTAGGCTAAGTAATCGACGACACTAACGCTATGATGTCTGATTCATCTCTTCTGTCGTTGGGCGAAATTTTAAATAGGCCTGAATATTGCCTAAAACTCTCAATGAGGGTACTAAAACAAAGAAGAAGACGCGCTCCGAGTTGAATATCCTTTTACATTTCGATTTGGAAACATAGAAAGAGAATGCAAAGTGACTCTTCATAGAGAGTACAGAAGATATGCTAAACGCGTTTCGGATGATACCTTGCGAAATTTTGAATGGGGGGGATGATAAGGGATGAATCTTTTGTATTCCATAAATTAGGTTTTCGGGCTTGCTATCTCATTTTTGACAACTCTAGACAGTTTTCAACAAACAGATATTGAATAGGACAGTTATCCATAGTTATAAAAACCACTTTTCCTGTAAATATGGATGTAAACACTTTTTCATACCCGGGATGAATGCGAAAATCGCATCTAAGTCGTGAACGAAAAAGATTTCAAATAAAAAAAATTCACGAGAACTTGTGTAGGTTTGATTTCTTCAATGTTCTCAAAAATGGATGATATACGGCAGGAGTGGCCAACCTGCTCTCGACCGCAATCGACTAAAATCTTCAAATAGATCCCGATCGATCAAAATCTTCAAAATAAATCGCGATCGGCCGATCAGTAATAAGATCATACACAAAAACGAATGGTCACTGAATATGTAGATAACTGCACACACGCATACAAAAAATTAAATTTCACCGCTGTCATCAAGAAGGATTTGTGGGCACATTATTAATAAAATCGACACAAATCGCGATCGACTCGAGACGTGGCAATCGACCAGTCGATCCCGATCGACGTGTTGGCAATCCCTGATATACGGAAATAAACTATCAAGTTATTCCAACAACATAATCATGTCTTGCAACTTATATCAATGTTCTGCACGTAATATTTTTACGATATAAAAACATATGTATTTACAATAACCAACAGCTTTACCAATCAATTAACTGTTTATGCTTGGACATCAACTTGGTATCGCAGGAAAGCTCAATCATCGAATTTTTCTCAACAGTGTTAAGATTGCACGAATTAATACTCTTTTCAAAAGAATTAACAATTCGAAAGTTTCCCTGACGAAGATTCGCATTTTCTGGAAAATGTTTCAAGTTTTCAATCATGTAACGTACTATGTGCTATTAAGCACAAATCAATCTGAAACTCCTATGAAATTTGCATTTTCAATGGATAGAGTCAAATTGAATATGTCAAAACTGTATGTCGCTGAACCGGATAAATCTCAACAAGCAAGCAAGTTGAACTACGTTGAAAATTTACATTCGCGCCTGAAATCAATATTTATGAAGTAGAGGCAAAACTGTCCGGTTCAAAGCGTTGATGAATCAATGACTAAATCCAAGGGAAGGTGTTCTTTCGAGCAATACACGAAAAAAACGAAGAAATGTTAAAGTTTTCAATAGCAAACTCAGCCGTGGATATTTCAAATTTATCTGCAATAGGAATGGAACGTTAGCAGTTAAATGGATGGATACAAAAATGTGTTAGTGCTGATCAACTTTCACACAAATACAGTTTAAGTTAGAAGCAACGAGATGGAACAATGAACGTTTCCTGCCCTATTGCTATCCGATGTTACAGACAAATTATGGGTGGCGTTAATAGAGCGGGCCAGATGGTTGGTGTTTATGAACTAGAACGAAATTCAAACAAACTGATGTTAAAAGTTCTTTATCGTATGTTGGCTTTTTCAATGCGTGGGTATTTACAAAAAATTGCACAGTCATTATAAAAAGCCATACCTTGATTTACGTCGCAGTGGTACAAGAAGACTATCCAAACGTGTATCCATGATGCACAATCATGGTAGTACCAGAAGAGGGTGTACCAATTGCGAAAAAGCAGGAAACCAAAAACGAACAAAGTTAATGTGTAGTGCTTGCAATTTTTCATGTTGCATTGTCTCTTTCAAGCCTGATTTTTGTGAAGTTTTTATTGCTCGTTTATCCGTAGATATGTGTTACAATAATATGAAATAATGAATTGATACAAAATATTTTCTCCTCCGTGACAAAACATTTTTTAAGACTTAATTGATTTGTGCAATAATAGTTGAGATATATTAGACTTAGAAAATTAAAGAAAAGTAAAACAAATTTATAAATAAGATTGTGACTGAATATTGCAAAATTCAAATCCAAAATATTTAAATAGCATATTTTAACTCTTACCGAAGAATACAAATAATTAACCGATGCATATTTTAGGTAAGGCGGGAGCTTTCGGCGTTTTTCTGAATATGGGTAACATTACCAGCTTTTTCCCCACTAAATAGAATACCATTCTTATTTTACATTAATATTGCATTTACCATGACGACTATAGTGCAATACTGTATGAACTAATTAAAAAAAACTCCGCTTAGTGCAAAGTGGTCTTAGGATAGTCAGCGATAATTATTCATTATTTGCTATTTTTTTACACTCAAAGTATTGAACGAAATTGTACAAATATGTATGGTATATTACGTTTATATAATAATAATATATAATATTGGTTTCCATCGTCTACCTTAGACGTACATGATAACTTGGAGGGTACAGAGACTTCTCAGTCCAGGAGCGGTATTTCATATTTCGTCTCATATACAAGTTTACTCATATACTATCCTCCGACTGGTTTACTGATGCATACATTCTATCGGAGTTGGTCGCAGATATTTCACAAACAGCGGTTATCTTCAATTTTATGAAGTAATCTAAAGTTCTATATATCTAAGATATAATACTTGCAATTATACATTTAAAACTCATTTCACCTACAACTTGCAACATAAATATTAAACAGTATATTGCATAGCAACGTTAAATATTTTACCCTCGTCATGTAAACAAAGCCAATCCTGTTGACGCTCGGACGTAAACAAATTGAATACTGCACTGAAAAATATATAGACAATCAAACCTAGGATATATTGATATACGTTTACGTGTATAATGAGATTTAGAGTTTGCTGTAAATTATAAGAGAATGTCGCTTATTGATAATGCAATTTTGCATCTTTTTCGCTTAGTTCCGATAAGCGTTGGTGACTTTGAGAAATAGTCCACAAAAATTTATGCATACAGCTTTGTCTTTGCAACCATGCTTATATGCTATCCTGCAAGCCGTCATCGAACTATACCGCGTTGAACGGTGAAAACTAGGAGCGCGAGAGGAGGCCTAATTTAGCAAAAAAAAAATTGTATAAACTGATGGTATAACGTAACCTGTGCGGAAATAGGCAGTGTCGTGTTATAATGTTGTTGACGATATAGGAGCAGCAGTTAACTTGGATAGAAAAGGACCTGGTAATTTCCGTGCTATCTGTTTGCACTTCTTTTGTGTTTTTCATGATAGTTCAACTTCGTCAGAGCCATACTTAAATTTAATATTTTATACTTTTTAGCTTTTGAGATCCCCTATATCTCCTTTTCTCCATGCATACTTTGACATCAGATAACTAACTGCACGTACACTTTTGAATTAAAATTACATTGATGCGTCTTCAAAGTCAACAAACTGTGTTTTCACATTTTGTTGACAACTTGTGATATAGCTTTCGATTTTGACTTAAACACATACTCCCTAGCAGGTTCGAAAAGCAGCGCGTCCGTAATCTGTTTTTATTGCTGACTTCATCTGTTTGATTGTTGAATTCAATTTCAAATACGTCGAGAAGCAGAAAAGAAGTCAATTGAAATCTATATCACTGACGACGAAATATATAAGCATTGCACCCCATTGTTTAGTCAATAATACAAACTCTAAAAACTTAAAAGAGAGCAACAACGCATCGTATATAGAAGATTCGGGAAGTAGGCAAGTTTTGAAACCTACCAAGGAGAACAAATGATTGCATTCCTAAATCTATTGGCACAAATTTTCCATGATAAATTTGAGGCAAATCAAAACGATATAAAACAACAAGCGAACAAATCTGCAAAAGTTAGCAATTTAATAGAAAAGTAATTACGAGGGGATCGTAAGAAGTTTGTGGGCGGTCTCGATTTAAAAGACCGATATATTACCTCTAACAAATTACACGGAAAGCGACAAAATGTTTGAAAAAATAATATTTTCTGGTAATTGAGATACATGTTACAAACAGCCCTCTTGACCAGACGGTGGAATCGTATCATTTCTTCTCAATATTTTAAACGAAGAACTTAACATATTGTTAACAAAAACCTCATCAATGTTTAATAAATTCACAATTACACGAAAAAACTGCACGAGGAATCGTACAAAAATGAAGAGTATCAAAATATGACAAAACAATGGTACAAACTCGGAAAATATCCAGCAAACTAATGAGACCTAGACCAGACAATCACGACATGAACTTTTTTGAAAGCGAAGATATAAAATAAAAAATCGAATCCAAATTAAAGAATATTGGAAAATATGTTAATAAGCAGAGAGTTATTATTCAAGCCCACTGTAAACAACAACAACTACTCTACGAGCAACAAATGTTGTTTTGTTCGGTGAAATATGTTGAATTGAAACAACTGTTTTTTGCTGTGAATATCGGATTTAAAACAATAATGTGCCGATTCTTTTCCAAAATCTTTTAACTTCTACACCATTAGCCTACTAATTTCCTTTTTTATTTCCCTTCTCCTTCCCACAAAGTATTCATTTACAGTTTATATATACAGTATATATATGTGTGTGTTTAATAAATAGTTAGTATATAGCAATGATATTGAAAACATTGCATTTATTAAATCCATTAAAGTCAAAAATAAGTTAATGATAAATATGAAATTTTCAATGCTCATATTCTACATTATTTTATGCATACCTGTGAGACAAGATAATGAAAACGAGCGAACGTGTACCAATATGTTGCAGGAGCAATAGCTATTTGTTGAATGCGGTGGTGTATTCTGCATTCCAGTCTGCTAGACATTATAGACAATGCTCCATCTACAACCATGCGATATAGAAGAGAAACATTTATCCATCACGTTCCGAATCATTTACGTACATGAACTGATTGTTTTCTGTAAAGACTCAGTTTTTGAGACGGAGCGTTCGCGAGAATGGCCAGGAAGTAGAAGCTATCACTATTTCTGCATCTTCAACATGTCGCTAGCATATTGAGGATTTCAGGATCGTGCCTTAGAGAATGTGTTAAAAACAAACAAACCGCTTAATCAGGCGGTTTTCGGAAGCGGACCAGTTCAGTTTCCAATCGAAATTATGCTAACATGCTGCAGATGATTCTCAATCGTCTTCACGCGTTAATGATGCTACTGAGCGGGATTAGAAAATGTAACGCAAAACTGGTCAGATGCCAAATACTAACAAATATGATTAGCTACACGACTATTGGTTGCGTAAAAACGCCGTACTTATGGTTCAGATGAAAGACAACGATTTTAGTGTACCAAGAACGGCATACGCTGACCCATATCAGGGTGGAAATGTTTCATTGAAGAAACTCAATGATTTTAGGTTTTGGTCGAAATAAGTCGGCAGCTGAGCAACCATGGGGGGATTTTCCGGAATCTTAAAAAGATGAACCCTGAAAAGGTCATGGCAAACAAAGTTATTTATTTAAAATATTGCGTCGATAAAGAGAAGAGTCTTAGAGATGAAACTGTTAAGCACCTTTTTAAAGCCATTAAACTATTACGTCACTGTGAAAATTCTACAATTTTCTTTTAAAATTACATCAAAAAAGTTGGCACATGAACAGTGCCACATGCTCACATCCCCCGGTGGTTTCCCCGAGTTACTGGATTGAAAAATGAGAGTGTGTCGCTGCAAATTTTCTGATGAACTTCCCTAAGCGGTAATTGACAATAACCAGAAAATAGGTCGAACTTATAAAATAGCCCGGGACAATAATTACGTACACACAGGTGTTGTGACAAGTCATATGAATATTAGTAGTGGATCATGTCGGCCAGAGTGCGGTGGGTCAAGTCCGGTGGGCCCAGTCCTTGGTTGATAAGCTTTCAGGGTAACGCGGTTTAAAATGAACGCAAGAGAAAAATTGCGTTTGCTCATTCTTTCGAAGAGTTGCGATTGTTACTTATCGATTTTAATCGGTAAGTATGTTGGTAGGTATTTGTCTGTCTGTCTGTTAGATGCACGTGATATCTCACGAGAGCGAGATTGAATCTGCTCCAGATTTTGCATGTGCATTCATCATATCTCGGACCAGAAGCCTATTGATTTTGGGGGAGTTATGTCGTATAATGTCGTTGTATATATATGTCGTTATTATTAATTAGTGGTGGAACACAAGGTGTCACTATGGAGTATGGAGCTGTTTGGGGGGATCCCCTGACTTTCGATCGGTAAGTTTTCAGTCTCTGACCGATAATCTCGTTTGTATCTTGGCGTCACCGGTAATTAATTGGATGGTCGATAGAGCTTGTAATCATTCGGCGTACGAAAAATTTGAGTGTTCTGACGGAATGCTTTAGAATCAGTCGTTTAAAAAAATTACCAAAGTTATATTTTTTACATTTAATATTACACTGTTATAACACACACACACACAAAAAAAAAAAGTAAATGAGTAGAAAATTGAAACTCAAAAAAATGTAAAAAGAGTAAAAATAAATGCAAGAGGTTAATGCGTGAAAAAACGTTAATAATGTGCATTTTTAAATACTCCTTGAACCACAATACTGGTGGCACCACAACTTCTAAAAAGTCGTATTTTGTAAACATTAAAATGTAGCAGGAAGTCCTTGATGTGAAGAATCATTGTTTGTTTTTCGAATAGGTCCGTTATTTGTTTGAGTTCAGGTAAATTTATAGATGTATACTCATCCCGTATAAAATACTTCTTGAATTGCGGAAATGTATAATTAAATCCATCCACCCACTCGTACATTTCCAAGGCCCGTGAAAACAAAACATTTATTAAGATATATTCAGTCGGTAGCTGAAGTTTAATTAGTTAGTGTTACCCCGCTTACTTTTTAAAATCACTTCCGTATATTTCGGAACGCAGCAGTTCGTATTTTCCATAATTTCCTTTGATTATTATAATACTGATAATGGAATAAACTAGTTTTAAGTATGTACTATAAATAGAAAAAAAACGAATAATATTGCCTAAAAACAAAGAAAATACATGGTTTAAATGTTCAAGAATAACAACAGTTTGATTATTGTACATGTATTATCACATCATAGAACATACAGAAGTAATTATAAAATAAGTTGTAACTTTGTTGGTATTATATGTCACAGAAAATTATCGTTTTAAATGAATTTGAACACTCGCCAGAACGTAACAATACCTTGATAGTTAAATTAACAAGGAACTGGTCGAAATTTCATTATTATGAACTGTTCGTTTGCCGTAGATGTAAGGCATACCATTTCGATACTGTTTATAGGTAAATATTTTGTTTGTATGTATACTGAAGTTAATGTTAACTCCACCAGGTTTTCTTAGAGAAGAGAACATTTTGCATCTTGTTAAACGTGATATTCTGGTGAATATTTTAAAGTCCTTTAGCGGCAATTTTAAAGGTATTATCATCTT